TAAAAGTCGCCAAACTTGGCGACATTTGGGTCTAGACCCTGTATCACTGTAATAGGTATTGTAATTGATTACTCTGTTAGCTGTAACCATAATTCGACCCTCACATTGCTTTCCAGTAGTTTTTAGAACCAGAAAATGCTAGAAATATTTAGGTGGTCGGTTGAAAAGTATATAAGAGAGCATCTGGTCTGAGTTGTTGCAATTAGCTCTGCGTGAGTTCGGAGTACTGAGATATTTTCTGGCTAGCTTCCTCTTTAGCTGTGATTTCCATTGCATTTAACTTTCAAGTTAGTTTGAAACGTAACTCCTGATTGTATTCTGTGATATTATGCAGAGTTGTGCAACTGGCTCTCTGGGAAGTTCCAGATCTCTGAAGTGTTTCATTTGATAAAATAAATCCTATCAACCTATCATGGGGCTGTGTGCATTCAATCTATTACTATGCTGTACGCATGCAACCCTTTTTGTAGCCGGAGTTGGTCAATCCAAGACAAGAACGATGAATGAGACAGTTGAGACAGCTAGTAGCAGCCTTTGCTGCTTTCAAAGAAAAATGAAAGCGGGACAAGAAGTGATGAAAGCAGGACAAGGAGATAAAAGGTGCTGTCAACTTCGTTAAAGAGGAAATAAAACCATCAGGAGGAAATGAAGTGATAAATTAGTACCATAATAGAGAACAAATTCCAGGCTATGGAAGGCAAAATGGACGCAGTCGAATATAGGGTTAGAGAAACTGGAGAAAGTGTCTGAGCAATCAAAGATCAAACCAAGCAACAAATTGAAGAGAGTTTCTGCTGCTGTTGCCAAAGAAGTTGAGACTTTAAATGCATAGCGACAGCAGGAAGCAATTCTGATGGTTTTAAACTTTCACCCGTGACTTTTCGTTGCTCTCTTAAGCTATTCACATATAATAGGTAGATCTCCTAGTAAGTGTACACGGCAAAATTTTCTAAAGTAGTGGAAGAGAATTGATGGGATTCTCAAGCTAAAGCCTGCTACAAACCGTTTATTCTGGACACAGATGCGAGCAATAAGAGGTTCGGTACTGTTTAGTCCCAACATATATACGGTTAAGAACGTGTCGTGGCATACTGGAGCAAATCATAATATAAACCGGAGAGAAAATACTGTATCAGGGGTTGCTCGCCATAATTTAAAGCCATAGAACATTTCCAACATTACCTCTACAACAGAAAATTCCTGCTTTGCACAGACCATGCCTCACTGACCTGACTTTTCAATTTCAAGGATCCCGAAGGCCAGATAGCCAGGGGGGTACAGAGACTCAAGAAGGATGACATAACTAACCGCCATCGGAAGGGATCATCACATGGAAATGCCAACGTCCTGTCTGGAACAAAAAGCTGCTGATATCGTACCAGAATCGAAGAGAAACATGAGCTGTTTAATTCTGTCGCACAACATATTACATCAACATCGGCTAATCAAGACCCACAGAGTCAAAAAAAGGCAGGAAAGACTAGGTGATGGACAGCGACATTAAACCGATAATTGATTTAATGGAGTCTTCAAACACAAAACCTACCTGGCAGGACTTTCTGATCTATAGTCCTATGACAAAATGATACTGGGCTCTATGGGACTCAATCAATATTCGAAATGGCGTCTTGTGCACGAAATTCGAATCTGATGATGAAAAGGCTTTCCGATAAGAGCTGATACTTCCAAGATCTCGGATCCCAGATGTCCTTAAAGAACTACATAGCAGCCCTACAGGAAGCCACTTCGGAATAATGAAGACTTTTTCCCAGAGTTCGAGAGCGTTTTTACTGGAGTAATGAAAAGGATGACATGCAAAAGTGGTGCAAATCCTAGGATGCCTGTACGAGTCAGAAAGCACTGAAGAAAAGCAGTCAAGGGAAGCTACAACGTAACAATATAGAAGCACCTTTTGAACGTATCGCTTTTGACATCCTGGGACCTCTGCCACGAAGTGCTGATGGCAATAAATACATCCTCGTTGTCATTGATTACTTCACCAAGTGGCCTGAAACGTACCCTATTCCTGATCGAGAGGCTGCCATAGTAGCAGAAGTAATGATACAGCACTGGATTTCCAGATTCGGAGAGCCTCTTCAGTTGCATCCTCATCAAGGAAGAAATTTTGCATCGGCTGTAACTAAAGAACTCTGCAAGCTACTCGGCATGGACAAAACACAAACTACACCTTTACATCCCCAGTCAGACGGCATGGTAGATAAGTTTAATCAAACCATCCTTAACAACCTCTCACTGGTGGTTTCCAGAAAGCAACAGGACTACGACAAGAAATTACTTCTGTTTTTTTGCTGGCTCATCGTAGTGTTGTCCACGAGGCTACTGGCTGTTCCCCCTCCCAGATACTCTTTGGTCGTGATCTTCATCTGCTTTTTTAATCTTCTGTTTGGTCGCCCTCCGAATGCACCTTCATCACCTGAGGAGTACATCCAAGATCTCCAGGCACAGTTTGAAGTGATGCACAATTTTGCACTAGACTGAGTCAACTTGGCGAAGGAGAAGATAAAGACCCAATACGACACAAGAGCTACTTATCATCTGTGCGAGCTAAAGTTAAGGCAGTCTCATAGATATAATACCTAATTCCCACCAATGACCGAATGATAAAGAATGCTGAACAGTAGTAATTCATTCTAGGTACAAAACTTAGAAAATGGTCTAATAGCATAAACGTTTTTATTGATTTTTCTATGTGTAAGTAAATACGAGTTACTTTCACTCACATAGCTTGCTTTCCCATTAGGCAGACAGCCCTCTCATCCTTTGATATAATCTATGAAAAAACAATATGTCAACTGCACGAGACTATAAGGAACAATATCTAGACTAAAAGTCGTCGTTTTCATCTTCCACAGCTTTTAAATATGTAGATAAAAAGCTACACTGAAATTTAGCATGCCATAAATCTGAGGCAAGACTGGCAATTTCTCATGTCCAGCCCTGTACCATATTTATTTTCATCATACAGTCCAGAGCAAAGTAGAACATGTATGACCAGAACTTAAAATTTTCTAAATCCAGACTTTTCATACCTCATGTTTATACCATGTTGAGCTTAATTTGGATCTAGCCATGACACTATCTTTTAAATTCTGATATGGGACCTGTTGAAAAATGTTAGCAACTTTTATAAATCCAGGATCAGATGGCCATGTTTCAGATCAACTGGAAAAAAAAAAAAAGAGGAAATCCACCACAATTTTTCCTTGGTATTTCAAACTGCCATAATTCATGTTAGTTGATACCCAGTAGATGACGCCACTTCCATAATTTTGTTTGTCTTTTGGATCTCATTTTTTAGTTTTATGCCAACATAACAGCAGGTTCTGTACCATCACTAATTTTTTTTTATTCATTCTTCTAATTTCCCTCAGTCTGTGTTTAGATTTTTTACCCTTGTCTCTGGAATAAACTGATATTACTAGGGTAATAATAATGTTTTTGTTGATCAGTGTAAATGTTTAATTGAATTATCTTAGTTATCTTTATGTCAATACTTTAGTTGAAATGTCTTGATTTTATTAGTTTTCAATTTAACTATCTTAGTTATCTTTATGTCAAAACTTTAATTGAATGCCTTGATTTTATTAGTTTTCATATCAAGTTCTACTGATATGATTGAGAAATAGCCTCTGCATATTATTTTCAGGTTTTTGCAGAGCATCCATATTTATCATTTATTGAACTATTATCTTATAACTTTTAATAACAGACAGCTAATAAATATTGGTTTTGCACTCATGTTTTTAACATTACTATGTTTTATGCTGATTTCATTCATATAAGAAACCTATATGCAAGTTTAAAAGTGCAATTTTGGATTTTTATTTTTATCGTGTAATATTATTATTCTATAATATGAACCTATATATTTCATATCTTGGCATTCTATTAGACATTTTCATGTATGCTCTACATTATATACAATTGCTAATCCCAGTACTTTATTATCATGGAGATTTTTGTAATGGAAAGTCAGGTAAGTACTTAAACATGGTAAAATATTTAGAAAACATTATTATCCATTAGGAGGATATATTTTACAGGAAGACTGATTAAAAAAGTCTATCAGTGACCAAGTGGTCAGATCACTGAACACTGGTTGTTGTGTTGTGACTTAAGCTCACTTTTTTGACAGTAGCATCAGCCCAAGCCCATGGAATTACACAAGGCAAGAAGCACAATATATGCCTATCGTTGGCAACAGCCTTGAACACCTTACAGGTGACAGTGCAATTTAGATCAGTTCCGCCCCCAGTTTTGATGGAGAGTACACCGGGGGGGGGCACAGGTCCGAGGGTCTCCTACCTCTCTCCCCTTCCACCAATCCACACGAGAGGACTTTCGGCTCGCCAAATATTTAGAGTGCTGCCATGCCGCACCAACACTATACATTTATAAACATCCCTGCCTTTTCCAAGATTTGAACCCAGGCCCTTTGGCATGGCAGTCAGCGACGCTAACCACTATACCGGTTGGGCGGCCTGAACACTGGTAGTTCGGCATAGTTCATGTCTCAACAAATGGGCTGGCTGCAGAGTAGTTTTGTAGTCTTCCCTATACTTAACATAAATATGATCCTGTTTCTCTTAAGAAGTCTTAAATGAAGGCATCCATTCCCTTAGAGAGATAGTCCTCATGTGCTGCGCCAAAATTCAAATAATCTAAACTGAGTTACTTGAAAAATTGGTTTCACAGTTTCATTACACAAAGAAAATTATATGAATGTCCATAAAGTCAGCATACAAAATTCTTAAAGACTAATAATGCTACAGCATTTCTTGATGAAAATTTGATTTATTACCAATTTTGAAAAATGTATGAGTTTTCTCTATTCTGCCATATCACTGTATCAAAGCGATAATAAGTAAACAGAGCTATAAATTACATGTGTTACAAAATATAAAATTTAAAAATTCTAATTTAATTATAAGAGGAAAAAAACAGCTGTCTGAAATCATGCCATGTTACAAAATCATTTCTATGTATCACCATAATAAAAGTGGGATGACTGCAATACATAAATAAAACATTTTATTCTAGATAAAAAAATTTTGTTACATATAACATGTGTATAAAATATATATATATATATATATATCTGTTAGAAATATCAGATATTAATTCGGTAAAACTTTATATGGATTTAATATGCCTTTAGGATCCATCATTTGCTTCATAGATTTCATTAATGATATTGCATTAGTTGTCTTATTAAAATGTAAATATTTAGATTTCTTAAATCCAATTCCATGCTCAGCACTTATACTGCCCTTTCGTTCAGAAGTCCATTCATAAATAAATGGCTCTATTAATGACAAAATGCTGGAATCAAATTTTCGACTGGTTGCATTAAAGTGTAAATTACCATCTCCTAAATGACCATATGCTACACATCTGGTCACTTTCTGTCCTAAACGCTCCCTCATGATTTCCACTATTTTATAAAATTCATCAAGAGGTAGCGATATGTCATACTTGTAGCCATATCCTTCTAGAAGTAATGCCTCTGTTATTCTTTCTCGAACTTCCCAAATTGTCTACAAAAAAAAAAAAAAAAAAAAAAAAAATGATTATTAAATTACAATAAAAGATTATACCAATAATAATTTTACTTGGCATTTGGAATTTTCTTAAATACTCATCAAATCTTTCTATAATGTTATAATATAATAAAATTAAACAGCAGAAGACAGCTATGAATTCTTTTAGAGTTTTAGTATAAAATTATTTCGTGCTTCATAATAAATGTTTTTGCGAATGCATAGTTACTTTTAATAGTGTAATCAAATGGTTTATAAACCAATTTTAATTTCAGTTGACACAAAACCGAAAATACTAATGTGTTTTTGGTTTTATGTCATACAATAATAAAAGAAACCGTCAGTAACTTCCATGCAGGGATATTTATTTATTTTCTAAGTTGTATTTTTTTAACCTTACCTTCAACATCCAACAACACTTGACCAGAAAACTTTTTTGTTTACCTAGTAAAGACATTTGGTTATTTCGAAGCAGGAGACATGAAAAATTAGCAATGCCTTCACCGGGACTTGAATCTCGGGCCTCGCACCACACGGCAAGCGTGCTGACCACTACATTACGAAGGCATGCTACCAAGGCCGGAGAAATACCTTATACTCCTCTTTTTAAAAGGCAACTGGGGTTTTTAGGGGACCCAATCGCCAAGTCCTAGTTGTTGAGAATCATCATCTACAACTCTTTTAGTTCAGGCACCACTGTAGAGACATCAGGATTTTTTCTTTTTTTTTTTTTTAAGCAGAAGAGATGAATAATGAGCAATGCCTTCACCGACACTCTAACCACGAACCTCTCGAATACGCACCAAGCGTGCTGACCACTACACTACGAAGGCATGCTAAAAAGGCAGGAGAAATACCTTATAATCTTTCCACCAAGAAATCCACAGGACGTTTTTGCCATTTTATCACATGGAAAATTTTATTTACAGCTGTTTACAACTTGTTTGCTTACAGAAGAACATTCAACATATTTTTCTGTTGTTGACACTATATCTCAATCAAAAAAAAATATGTGAAGAGGGAAGAAAAACAATAAATATAAAGTGAAAAAGTTGCTTCCTCTCTAAGCCAGCAACATGAAACTGTAACATCTATATAATGTGGAATCTCTGTTTTCAATCATCCGGCAATAATGAATTTGACACCTTCCCCTTCCGTTATTATAACACGATGTATATTTCTGTTGCAGTAACTAATCTATTTTTGCTTACAGATCAGTCCTATTTCACTGTTTCTAACATAAATTAAAATGTATTAAATTTTATATCACTGCATTTTAATTAATTTCTAGCATTTTAGTAATAAATGTTTAATTTCTAACATGTAAGTAATAAATGTTAGAAATTATTTTAAAAATAGTAGTAAGAATAAAATGTCACTGCACTTAAAACTTTTCACTTTAAATTACATTTTTAATAAGATATTAAATAAACAAAAATGTATTTAAAATCCAAATGTTTTATAAAAATTTATTATATATGAATAAATGAATTTGAAAAAAAAAAAGATAAATATTTTGCAGTGAAACAATCCTATAATTATGAAATCTGCCATTTGGCATTTCAATACATATATTAACCAAAATAAATAATACATTCAAAAGTCGTTAATTCGGACACCCATAGTCCGGAATGATCTATAATCCAAACCTCAAAGCTACAAACTTGCGCCTACAGCTACAAAAAATGCCAGTGACGTATGCGCATAGGCGTTTGCGGCTGCGAATATGCGCGTGCGCATGTGCATAATATGTTTATGCATGCACGTTTAATGTCTAACGGACGGTATAAGCTAAGCTAAAATTATCTAATTCAGTTAATGTTGCAGATTGCGTTGTTCCTTAATCTTCGAATTGGATCCGGCTTATTATTTTTTGCAGACTGTTAGAGCAATTTTATAAAAGTAAGTTCGAACTCTCGATTATGTCAAATAGAATTTCCGATATATATTTACTAATCTGTAAAGGATCTACAAAGCAAAAGTATGTTTCGAAGTCCATTAAACAAAAATGGGAATTGCTGCAAAAAAATGGATAAAGGCATATCCTTTGTTTCTCTAACCATTCCGAAATCTGTTTATCAATTTCAAGCTGCTCTGCGGCGTGGCACGCAATGAATTGGAAGTTGATCTGTCAGCACTATCCTTATCTTCAGGGCAGATGTTTTTATTTTATTTGGCTGAAAATTCCTTACTAAATGTAGTATTTCATCTCAATGTACTCCGTCTTTGATGTGATTTAAATCAAATTCCTCGTCAATTCGCTTCCGATAGTGAAGAAAGTGACACAGAGGTTATTGAAAACGAAAAAATTTCGATTGACAAATTAGTCGATATTCTCGACACAGCAATTACAGGACTTGAACAACGGAACTTTGTAACTGAACAAGAAATTATGTCTGTTTATAGAATTAAAGAGAAAGTATTATCACATAAAATGAAGCAGCTTAAACTACTTACATTGAAAGAAATGTTTAATAAAGTAAACAAATAAATATTAAGCTTTTTTTTTGTAAATTTTGATACCCTTTAGATCATAATTGTTCTTTATTTCATAAATTATGGTTTCATATTTTTAATTTTATAATTTCTGCATGCCATCTTACCAGATTTAAACTGATGATCTATAATCCGGAAAAATCGATAATCCAGAATCGCCGAAGTCCCGACGAGTCCGGATTAACGACTTTTGACTGTAATATGCTAAAATTAAAGTGTAAATTCAATGTAATTACACCAAATTTAAGTGTTTTGAGAAAGGACAACACTATGAAGAAATCAAATATATTCTCTGCATAAACATGGAAATTTTGTTTCTACTTCAAAAAAAGATATTACTGATTTAAAAACTCAAGTTGAAATTGAGATGTTAAAATGAAAATTCTTCATAAAAACTGAAAAATTATTTTGTAATAGTACATAGTAAATTTGAACACAATGTTTCAATAGTTAAAGTTTTGAAATGCTTACAAGAGTCCCAAAACATATAAAAAATGTAATTGTGATCTGCACCTAAAAGAAAGGCATATACAGTCTGTAAAAGTGCAAACCTCTGAATGATTACAAAACTCTAAAGACAGCCTAAAATGGCTTCAAAAATGTAAATATGGCCTGCACCTTCAGAAAGACATAAATGCTCCCACCAATTACATCTTATATTGCCTAGAAACCTTTAAATAAAAGTACAAATGTAACCTGAGATAAAGGGGAAAAATTAAAAAATGAGAAGAAATAATCTGTAAAGTGTTTCTTCTTTTATTCCTTTAATCTTTGATGCCGCCTTATCTAATTACCGTCATATGTTAAACACCGTAAAACACAACCCAAATTTTACTGCATAAGTAATTAGAATAGATAAGATAAAAAATGTCATTTTATTTTTTAGATATAATTTTTTTCAAATTTCTTATTTTTTATAATTAATAGCTTTCACAGATTTAGCTTTCAGTGCATCTTCCAATATACTTATTATAACACAACTGAAAATGTATAAAATAATAAATTTATAACTAATTCTCTGAGAATTAATGGTGGAAATTTCATGAGGCTTCTCGAAAGTTTGCATTTTATGAAGTGGATTGAAAGTACTTTATTTCAGTTACTGAAAAATATGATGCACATATGGATGTAGTACTGTATGATAAATGGCTCTGTAAAGTGTTACAGTTACTGAATACAGAAATGAAAATTCTGAATATTCTGAGTTACCAAATTCAGAAATGACACATGTGGATTTTCAAATTCACTTTCAATCTACTTCACGTAATATACACTTCATAAAAATTTCTTGAAATCTCACACATCTGAATGATCATATTTGAGATACTCATGAAGTTAATGCCTGGTGCAAACTAATGAATAACAAAACTGTTTTCTCTTTTTTAATTTATTGAAACATGGACATGATTTAGATTTTTTTAATCCCTCAAATTAAGCAAATGGAATTGGAAGATGGTAAGTTCTTGATTTTTTTTAAACAAGATAAAGCATAGCATAACTTTTCAAATCAAAAAGCAAATCATACCAACAACTGCAAGTGTTATAAAACATGTTCTTGCCAGAACACAGAAAGTGAATATTGCTCTGATGAATACTATGCTGCTAATGATAAAATTATAAAATGGTTCATGTCTTTTCTTTTGAGTAACTTTCAATCCATTTCACTTCATAATATTTTTTAGAGATCTCACAAACTCCCATAATTCAGTCTCAAAAACCCAATATTTAAGGTAATTTTATGCAATTATAATTGCATGGCACATTTTCAAGGGTTACAAAACAAAAATTTAAACAAAAAAACACTAATTTACCTTAATGCGACTGGGTTCAGTTGCAACAGTGCCATCACTAACATGATTTTTCTCCATTAAATAAGTTAAGCAGTCATTTAATTTTTCTTCATTGTGTTGTTGATTTGATCCTATATAAACATGTATAAATATTCATTATATTTTAGAAAAACACGAGATCATATTGTTACAAAAGTATACAGTGTGATTTTTCAGGCAAATTATAAAGATCATACAAACCAGATATTTCAACCAGAATGTAAAATGGATGTTTTGATATTGGTGGAGAAATTTTTAAGTTGTCTCTAAGTGTATCCGCTGCTGCATCATCCAGCATTTCTAGTGATGAAAGCACTTCCGGTAATTTTTGTTGAATCACTTTTGCTGTGCTTAGACACTGTTCAAAGGAATTTAATCCTATAAAATACACCTATATTTAAAAAATAAAAATGACCTTTTGCAGTGATACATTTATAAAAAATAAATATCAACATATAATGTTCATGATGTCATATCAAATATATAAAGCACAGAATTTAATACAACACTAAGATATATTTTGAAAACCTATTACAGGAATAATTTTTAATATTCATATTTTAAACTAAAACATAAAATATTCTTAATGAAACAAAACAATGTTTTACATCAGAAAATATTCATATTAATATGTAAAACACGTTGAACAAGTAAATCATAGAACTAATGAGTGATATGTTATATATATATATATATGAATCTACTCAGTACTTGCTGCTTTATTAAAATAACTTCCATTGAGCTGCTGAGTTTAACAGATGGTGATTTGTGTATTGCAAATTGTAATCAGTTTTAATCTTTTTAAGTAAAACAATAATTAAAAATTAACAGTTTAAACTATTTAAGTAAATATGAAATTTACTTTATGATATTTTATAAAAATATTTTTACAATTAATTTGCTTACAAAAGTTTATAATTGATGAAATTATATACTTTTGTAAGCAATTGCTCTATTTGTGTTTTTCATATTATTCATCAATAGTTTTTCAACTGTATTCTCAATTTTGTAAAACTGGTAACTTTTTTTATCAGCACTGTTCAGTTCAAAAGTTTTCCTTAGAATTTCTAGATTCGACTATCGTTGGCATGTACGCATTTATTCTTGATTATTATTGCTATCAGTTTCAGAAGTTCTTTTAAAACTTTCATTGTTAGCTTCTATATATTGTCACAATATTTTTGCAAATATATTAGCTATAGCTTGCAATTTCTTTGAGACTTCTTTTATATAAAAGTCACACATTCAGAAACAGTTTTCAGCTGATTTTAAGAGATTAACACCCCTGTACTGATTATAATATGCATGGCATCTAGAACAGAATTTCATTCGGTGTGCTTACATTTTCAAAATTTTATTCTGTTGATAATTTTCTGAAATCTTTTCTGCAACGGCATTTGAAAGCTTTTATAATACCCTGAATATTAGAGGTTATATTTGCAGAAAGCAACACTAATGTTTTTCAAAAAAGATCAAAGGTGTATATGCTGCATACTAAATTATCCATGTAGTTTTACCTCTTGGTTGCTGTTGCATTTATATTCTGATATCTTTTATTCAATTCATTTTTATCATATTTAATGATTGCAGTTGGTGGGAAACAAATTACTGCTCTGGTTACATTTTTTTTACTGTATCTCATCCGCACTACACATTCAATCTGTAGTCAGAGTATTTACTATAATATAAAGTATTCATAACTTTGTTTCCTAATTATGTAAAGTATTTATTATTTGTTTTTAAAAGATTAAACATCCATCACTTTTCATCATACTTCCATTTTAAATTATAATGTATTTATACAGATTAATATACCTTTTGTCGCATTATCTACTATTTTAAACTTTTGTTGTGTGAATTGATCATCTTCGCAACTTTTCAGATTTTTAAAGCTGAATTTTAAAATATGGAAAAAACACTAAATATTATTTCTTATTTTTTAGCTAACTACCAATAAAATATAAGTAACTAAATTGCTTACTATTATACATTTTTAGATAAGCAGATTCATATACATATATATATATTTCTCTGAGAAAGACTAAGAGTTCAAGATTGGATAAATGCATAACTCTGCAATGAAGTAAAAATTAACACACAATTGTAAAAATTGAAATTTTAACATTCATGATTATCAGAAATAAATATATCAATGAAATCCAGGGCTTCTTATCTGATTCTTTTAATTAACTAATAAAAATTTATTTAAATTCTTAGCAAGTTCATATTCATTTGAATATTATTTACAGTTCGCAATAATTAATGTAATTATTAGTTAGTTTCAGAAAACAGTTTTTAACACATTCTGATAATCTTCAAAATACATTCATATTATTTTTTGCAGCCTTCTATATTTTAAATTTAGTTACCAACGTCGAAATAAGAATTGTATAACATCTTAGGAAAACTTTTTTAATACAATATCCTGTTATTAAAATCAATATTCTTTGATGAATACCCAAAAATGCTACTGAAGTTTCTGGACTTTTTGGATAACACAGTATGGCTGCCTCAGTAATTATGCCAAGAGTTCCTTCAGAACCAATAAACAAGTGTTTTAAATCATACCCAGTATTGTTTTTTCTCATGGTATTCATACAATCAATAATTTTTCCATTGGCTAAAACCTAAAAGAAAAAAACAAAGCATATAAATTTTATATATATATGTGTATATATATATATATATCTACATGTAATAAAAGAAAGAGTCTGTGTGTCTTTCGTTTGTGCTGTGCGTAAGCTAATAGACCCACGGCTATGAAATTTGGTATACAGGTGCATCTAGACATAAGCCAGTGCACTTCGAAGTGATATTTTCAAAATTCGAATCATATTTTTTTATTTTATCATTTTGATTTTATCACATCATTTTGAATAGTTTCATTCTTTTAGAAATGTTGTTTTGGCAACAGTTTTTCATTCTTTTAGAAATGTTGTTTTGGCAACAGTTTTTCATTCAATTTTATACTGGACTGCTTACTGTTGAAAATCAGTACTGTTGTCACTTGGAAAAATGAGGGCGATAATTCTGTGCAGTTTTTAAATTTAATGTTTCTCTTGGATACTGGACGTTTGTTGAGAGAAGGCAACGGGTATTTGGTTAATTTATTTATTAGGATAATTAATATTTGTATTAAGGAATATTGCTTATTTCATTGTAATTTTGTTATATGCAATACTTTTTTTTAAAAATTTGTGTTTTTTTTATGAAGTTGTTCTGCAGAGTAAAATTCTGTGCAGTTTTTAAATTTAACATTTGGTGTTCCCTTCGGCCATTTTTCTGGTACATTTAAAAGCCAGATGAAGGATGGCCATGTAGCGGCTAGTATATATAAAATTAATCTTAGGAGATAATATAATCAATATTTCTTTAGTAAATAAATAAATTATATATATATATGTAATAATAAAATTCCATAGTCAAGAATACACTTAAAATTCTAACTGTATGTTCTTTTCATTTTTAATGGTAACGGTCTCTTATTTGAAAGTACGTGGAATTAATTCCACAGCCCCGTAGTCAATCTCTATAAGACCCATTTTATAAGATTTGTAACTGCTATTTAAGTTGTTTTTCCTGCCTTTTCTACACGTACAGTTATAGAATGTTCTGGAAATATTTAAAACGAACTGGATTGGCTGACGTCATTTATTGGAAGCTCTGCCTTTCCAGAGGCTATAAAAGGACTTGCAAAGGAATATCGGAGGCTTTTTCTTAAATGTCACGATGCAGCATACAAAAAGTTATTAGTAATTCATTTTTATTTACTTGGGATATCTTAATTTGTGTAACTGCTATTTTCTCCTGAATAATAATAAATGGATCCTGTTTTTTAAACTTATCATCTGATAATTTAAGCTACGACTACATTTACGATTCTTTCTTCACCAATCTATTTATTCCGGACAAAAGCTGGTACACCATATATATATATATATATATACAGCACAAAGTCCGTATTCCGGATGTCCATTATCCGGAATGATCTATAATCCGTACCTCAAAGCCACAAACTTTTTTTTTGGTATGCTTTATGCATGCGCGTTTAAGCATGCGCATGCGCGTTGGGAGGATGTGTCTCCAGATACGTTAAAAAATGCTTGGCATATTTTATAGCCAGCTGCCATATTTCATTGTGAGGAAGATGAAGATGATAGTTGCAAATTTTAAGGCTTTTGGACATCGCAAAATAAAGGCGAAATTTTCCAGTTATTGGATTTTGTAAAGAAATGTGGAGAAGCAGTAATAAATGAAGATGACATAACAGAAGTTTTTCATTGCGACAACAATGCCCCAATCATCAATCAAGTAACGGACAGTGAAATCTATCCAGAAAATACCGCTTCCGATAGATGGAACTTTGTAACTGAGCAAGAAATTACGTCTATTTATAGAATTAAAGAGAAAGTATTAGCACAAAAACCGAAGCAACTGAAACAACTTACATTGAAAGAAATGTTTAATAAAGTAAATAAATTTTAAGCTTTTTTTTTTTTTTTTTGTAAATTTCGATATCCTTTAGATAATTGCTCTTTATTTCATAAATTACGGTTTCATATTTTTAATTGTACAATTTCTACATGCCATCTTATAAGATTTAAATTTATGATCTATAATTCAGAAAAACCCCTAATCTGGAATTGCCGAAGTCCTGACGAGTCCGGATTACGAACTTTGTACTGTATAAAATATAAAACTAAATCAGCCAATTTTTTTAAAAAAGCTTAGCTTTTGTGATGCAAAATACCTATAAAAGTTTAAATTTTTATTATTTCAAAATTAAACACCAAATATAATTTATTAAGGGAAGAAGACCAGGTAAAAAGAAGAATTTTATTTTTCTGGATAATTGAACAAAATTATTTACTGAAATCCTACACATAGTTCTTCAGTAAAATTTAATATTAGTAAACAAAATAGCATTCTTTCTTTTTATTCAGTGGGTATAATGAAGATGATTTTAAAAACCTATATTAGCTTTTGTTGGGAAATAATACTAGATTCTGGATGGTTACATTTCCAACCTTTATATCTAAAGCCTTTTCTTGACCAACATTCAGCATCTATCTCTTAAAAATAGAGGACCAGCTAAGTCAATACAGTTTACTTCAAAAGCAGATGCATTCCATATTATGTCTTTTGGTAAAGTAGCAAAACACGCAGCAGGTTTAGCACTAAATCAAAATTGAATATCTGATATGTCATTATACCTGCCTAAATACTATCAATTTAGTATATTAGGAATTAACTCTACATAACTATGTTCTTTCTACAAAGAGTTGTCTAAAGTGCCTTTTTCTTCCACTAAGCATCAAAAATAGCACAAGTAAAGACTTTTTTGGTGTTAGAAATAGAAAAGGAAAGCTAAAAAACAGAACTTTTTTTTATATATATATAAATCCAAATTTTCAATTCCAGCTTTTTTTTTTTTTTTTTTTTTGGTAGTCTTTTAATTTAAATACACATGCACGGGAATGTAATGGCAGAATTAGAGCAGGGATTTAGTTTAGAGAAATCCTTATGATTAGGATTTTTGTTTTCTTAATGATATTATTGTGGTAGCCGTTTCTCAGGATCCCTCTCCAGAATAGAACCCTGATTCCCTGTCACCCGTTACAACCATGGTAGGTGTTTAACCTACCATTGACAGTAGATAAGGCAGACATTTGAAAGATATACCGTCGGAACGGGCCTGTGCAATCAGCCCAAAGTTATACAGAGTCATCACATAATACGGACACGAGGTCCGATTGGTTTTGGTCTAATACAAGTGCTCATCGCCAGAGGGTCGGAGCTCTGCTACATGTATTAGCTCTAGAATTGCCACAGTTATCAAAATAGTAAGATACAATCCAAGGAACCATAATTGATTTAATGAGCCATTTATGGTTTTGCCTTAATAGGGCATGTTCTTACACATGCACGGCTTAATCTTTGAGACAAGCATATGACTACAGGGAGGATTAAGCAAGTAGTCTTTTTACGTTCATAGAACATTCAAGCTGCAAGCAACTCATATCCACCATTTATGGCACACACCTCATTAGGGGCACAAAAATTACGTTGAAAGCAATCTCCTTTGCAGTTTATACAATTTTTTTTTTCATAAAATTCTTCATTGAAATTTTACCAAAAAAAAAATCTCTTTTATCTCTCCACAACATTTTCCCCTCGAATCAAAACTACTTTAATTTGTATGCAATTACATATTAAAACTATAAAAGTTTTGCATTCAACTAATCTTTATATATAATTTTTAAGGTATAAGAGAGTTATAATTAGTTGTTTATGTATGAAAGAGTTTTATTAGTTATTGTAACAAAAAAATCCAAATTTAAATTTAATATGTTAAAAAAAAAGGAACTTAAAAGCATAGGAATTAGCTAATCTGCTTAAAAATGTTGGTCCCCAGATGTGTGGATTGTCAGAATTCTACTGTAAGACTTATTTATTACTAAGGAGAACTTACAGCTTTCAATCCAAGTACATTTCCATGTAATGATCCATATCGAAGAAATCTTAAACCACCAGCATTTGTTGAAAGGTTTCCTCCAATTTGACAGCTCCCTTTTGCACCTAAATCTACTGGCACAGTATAATTTTTTTTATTGACAAAGTTCTCTAAAGATTCTAGTACACAACCAGATTGACATTGTAATGTCCCTAAAATGTATAAAAATTAAAAGCTTATTGAATTCATAAATATCACAAAATTTCAGATGTCTTAAAATACATTACATGCACAGAGATTTAGCCATAGTTTAAAACATCAATATTTGTGGAACTTCAAGGGAAAAAAATTAAAAATTAATTGCTATGTCATATCTCTTCTGAGTCATTTATTTGCTGTAATGAAATGTTCATTAATGTGATTTTTAATTCATTGTATTGGATCTCACATGAAATAATACATTTCCTAATTTCAAAAAGTAAAAGGAAATAAAAGAATATTCAAGAGAAAAATTAGTTATGTATTTTTTAATCATCCATAACATAAAAAAAATCTTAAAAAAATTAAAAAAGTAAAATGTTACAGAACTTAGTATTTAATCTACACAACAGCTCCCAAATAAGATCAGATATTCGACAAACTGGAGTTTAATATACTATTTTGAGATTAATTATTTGCTCAGAGTATCTTTTATGAATATACACTGCCCTCCAAAATTTAAGGAATAGCATGTCTTTTGTGTCTAATTTAAGAATGAAGCAACATAGAAACAAGAAATTTATACTCATACATGCACGCATACGTACATATCTGAATCCAACCCTGATAACAGAAGAATACCAAATATCTTCCTTTAGTAAAATTTCAAAATACATAAATAAAACTAATATTCTGTAAAATATCAGAAAAATATTGTTCATTTATGGTTTTTCTTATAAGTGACGTAAATGTCCAAGTTATTTTCTCGCGTGACAGCTAAATAAAGCTATACTTAACTTTGAATTAATTATATGTTTAATTTACATGGAGCACCAACTGTACTGATCATTTACAGAAATAGCCCCAAACTAGATGATAGGTCAGAATTTCTTTTAACAATATTAAAAAAAAAAAAAAAAAAAAAAAAAAAAAAATCAACAACATTAAAAAAAAAAATATTTTAACTAACTTTTAAATTGTGCTTATTAAATATTTATCAAAATATACAGGAACAACAACAATAATAATGCAAAAGGGAAAAAAATCTGAATTTATTTTTTATCTGAAATCTAAAGTCTGTATTTACAAAGCATGTTAGTTGGTTATATTTTGTAATTCAAACATACCGAAAGCTAATATTAAGATTTCAAACTGAAATTTACTTAACAATTCTAATATGTTTAATTAATCAATAAATGACTTATTTAAATTAAAAATACAAAAATTTTGAAAAATTTCTCGAAGTTTTCAGAGAAAACTTTTCAAGTGGGACAAAACTTGAGGATAAATAATGACAATCTAGGCTCTTTTTCTTATTTATTAAATTTTTGCTTGACATACAAATTAAAATAGATATGTTTTAATGTAAATAATTATAAACTTTGTATATATAGATACACAAAATTTGTTTGTATAATATCCATGCATTGGAAAAAAATTACTATAAATTATCTTTACCATGGATTGTAGATGTTCATATTTTGTAATTCGAACATACCAAAAGCTAATATTAAGATTTTAAACAGAAATTTACTTCAAATAATTCTAATATGTTTAATTAATCAATAAATGTCTTAAATTAAAAATACAGAAATTATAAAAAAAAATTCTTTAAGTTATCAGAGAAAAACTTTTCAAGTGGAACAAAACCCGAGAATAAATAATGACAACCTAGTCTCTTTTTGTTATTTATTAAATTTTTGCTTGACATACAAATTAAAACACATATGTTTGAATGTAAATAATTATAAATTTTGTATATAGATGTACAATTTGTTTGTATAATATTTGTGCATTGGGAAAAAATTACTATAAATTATCTTCATCATGGATTGTAGATGTTTATCAGTCAATTAGATTCTTATTAATTTTCAACTGAAAAAAAAAAAAAAAAAAACTGTTCACATAACAAATGTATTTCCAAACAAAGTGTTTATTCTTAGTTAAAAAATAATTAACTTGTTTTTTGGACAAGCTCTAATAAAAGACAAATAAATCTAAAGCTTCAAATCTTTGAATAAAATTTATATCATATAAAAGATCAATTAGCTCAATTTATAGAATTTCTTTATTCTTATTAGTTCTAAATGGTAATGGAAATCTCAAAATCTTTGCAACACCATATTTGCAACAAATACATTTCAATTATGTATTTATTTGTTTGAGACTACTGTTCTAAAGCACTGTGCTTTAAGTAACAGTCGTACAATTTATATGCCCCCAATTAATACTTATTCATTAAAATAAATATTTAATTAATAAGATTTTAAAATAAATAAATTATAGCATTAAATACACACATTAAAAAAAAAAATTCAACTTCAGGTTGAAAAGAGTAATTTTCTCTCCCAATGAAAAAGAAACCCATATATTCAATTAAAATCCATTAGCTATTTTTCCCCACTAAAATTGATGCTAAAATAAAATTGGATTTTATAATTTTGTAGCGTTCATTTCATTACCACTATTTTATATGATATTAAGAAACCAAAAATAATTTTTAACGACAGAAATATATTCACCTGAATTATCATCAAAATCCAAAACTTTATTCATCAAACTCATAGAAATTACTATTTCATCAAATATAGGTATACTGCCTCCAACTAGGCCAGTATTGCCCCCCTGTGGGCAAACTGCTAAATTTTTTTCATTGCAGTATGCTAAAATTTGCGACACTTGCTCAGTATTTTTAGGACGAAGTACCAAAGAACTTTTTCCTAGGGAGGAGAATAAAAAATGTAATATGTGCTATAAGAAATATAAAATAATATAAGTATGATGTAGCTTCATTGATTAAACAAAAAGACTGAATTAGTTCCAGGTACAGGGTTCGTACACATTTCTGCACACGGAAATTAAGTACTTTTAAGGACTTTTAAGGACCATTAATGAAAAAAATTAAGGACCTATAAGCAAATGGGAGCTGAATAAATTCAATTAAAAATATTCTATGCCTGAATTTCAGTTTTGTAATACCATCCTAAAAATAAAATAGATCCCTAAGTAGTATGCATTATTACTAAACATTAATTAACTAACATAATTATTATAAACTTCATGCAGTTTACAGAGTAGCATTAAATATTTTACACTTATAATAGTTGGACATATTTAAAAGAAGCTAAGTGACATTTACGTTTCACTAATAGTTAGCTTTATGCTGAATTTTTTTTATGTCTCATTTTGTCACATACTTGGTCAGTCTAGAAGTTTAGCAAATAGTAGGGAGATTTTATGTCAAACGGCATAAGTTAAAATGAGAAGTGAAATCATAATCAGCATGATTCATAACAAAAGATTGAATGTTGTCCCTCTGCTGCTTGTCTATAAAGAGACCTGCTGATTGGAACAAACCTGAAAGACCTGATGTAGGCACGGTTGGCAAGTGTTGAAAGTTAGTCAAGCTCTGCTTAATGCAGTTAATGTCATAGCTTTGTGTAGAGTTCCAGCAGCTGTAACCCAGTTTACTTTAAGGTTCCAATAAGCCATTAAAGCACCAGAGGAGATAAGTTGTTTTATATACAAGTCTCAGTAGATGCAAAGAATAAGTTTTTACTTGATGGTGTTGATGGATACTTGATGGGTGTTGGATGATGGTCCTCCACACAAAGGATTTGGCGATTTGATCCCCTAAAAACCCCAGTCGCCCTTTAAAAGGGGGAGTATATAAGGTATTTCTCCCACTTTCTTGGCGACTCTTCGTGGTGTAGTGATTTGCACACTGGTAGCGATATTCCAGAGGTCCGCAGTTCGATTCCTGGCGAAGCGTTGTTAGTTTTTTAATCTTTCCTGCTTTCAAATATACCTAATGTCTCTCTAAGTCTTCCCAAACATTTTAGCTAGTTTATATCGATTTCCTTCTCTTTAATTATCAATCTTTTCTGACAATAATTAGAAATTTGTCTCAACATGCAAACCAATGTTCTCGCTAGTTTCTGTGTGCTTTATCTCCTAACTTGTCAACCTCTCCACAATGTACCTATGAGCGTTTACTTGATCTTGTAAAAGTTAAATAGTCCCCCCTGATAGACATGAAGCAAATTATCACTGTATCTGAAAGTAACTACAATATCAGACAAAGAACTTAGAACATAAAGGCATGTTCTGATGCTAACAAAGTCAATTACAGCTCACGGTGACGTAATTAAACAAAAACAGTCAAATTCAAACTAAAAATGTGGACTAGTGGTCAAAGATAATACAATTTAATTTTAATTTAATCTCACTCAGTAACTCTATCATATGAGGAAACAGAAATGGGAAGTTATAGTAAAGGCTGAAATGAAAAACAATCAGGTAATTTACATAATAACTGCACATATCTTTGAAGAATAATTTTCTTTATGTATTCGGTTTCTTTCTTCAGTGTGTTTCCTTTTAATTTTAGAATTTTTGGATTTAATTAAGGATTTCTGTTATTCTAAAAAACACTAAATGCATTTAGATTGTACAGAAAAAGTGGCTAATTTTATTTCTTTAGTAATATGAACATTCAGAAGAAATATGAAATATATATGGTAAAGGCCAGTTACAAAGCTGGTGTGGAAGAATTTTTAGAATTTAGTGACACACAGAACAACAAAATCTAGAAATGGCAAAACTTTTAGAATTTAGAGCAGGTATTGGAAGCAGAATTTAGATGGGTGCTAGGCAGCAGAATTTAGGATACACAGAGATTGCATCAGGTGGGAAAATGCATAGCACCAGCTTTGTGTACGATGCATTTAGACATATTAGATGAATCTTTTAAATTGTAAGTTTTCAATTTCTTTATTAATAAAAAAAATCTCTTCCTGTAATGCCTGCCCAAGTGATAAGATTAGAAGCATTTTTGATATTTTCCATGCTTTTGTCTAGTGAGTTGTTTGTCTAGTAAGTTGAGAAAATAAAGGGAAGATAAACATGTTAAGATAAAAGATTCTAGTATCAGGATTAAAACATTCAAATATTATGTTTTCATTGTTCTTCCAGATGTTCTCCAAAAAGTAAGAAATTCATCGTAAACTTTCCGTAAAATGCATCCATCACGTGTTGATATGTTGATACCATGGAGACATTTTTCATTTTTGTCACATATTTCTCGAATCTTCTTTAACCTTGCCTTCAAATCCTTCTAAACTTTCCATGCTGCAATGTCAAAAATACTAAAGAAAAATTATCCCAACCAATTCTGTAACAGCAAAAAGCCAAAAATATTTTTTAAAAAAAGGAAGGAAAAAGTGTAAAATTAATTTTATAGAGAAAACTGATGCATATTCTGAGAATTTTGAATAATCTGAGACAATTACATGGGAAAAAACGCTTACTGTGAAAAAATTAAAAAAGAAGACATTTTAATTTACATAGCTAATTTTGCTTTTACTAAGAGCTGTTTCGTAAATTATGCTTTATAGCTATATACCTGTTTATTTTCCAGATTTAAAAATACTGCATAATAGTTGCCAAAATGAAACTTTATATATGACAGCAAAAAAATAAAAATGTTTATTTTAATGTTATTTTTTTAATATAATTCTAATATATTACCATTATTTTAATGGTATTTATTCTAATATTTACCATTATTTTAAATTTATCAATGTGATGATGTTTTAAAAACATTGCCGAAAAATTCTCAGATCTCAGAATTAAAAATTTTCTATACAAACTGATCTTAAAATCGCCAAAATGTTGACAAGTTGTCAAATTTAGAACTATTTAATAAAAGAATTCACAATCCAAAGGCGAAAAGTTGCTCAAGAGCTCTTTATTAGAAAAAATGAATTTCGAAATGCTCATGTTTCACTTCTTAGAAATTCGAGTACCCCATCGTTTATATTGGAAACAGAAACAAATTATAACCCATAAACCCATTCAAAAGATAACCATATACATCTGTAAATTGCCAAAAATATTCCTCCAAAATGCTAATTCACACTCAAAATGGCAGTTGTAAAAACAGAGAGAAATTTCAGATGATTAAAATTAAGGACCTTCTACTGATTTTGGCCAAAATTAAGGACTTTAAGGACCAAAAATCGATTAAAAAAATTTAAGAATTTTTAAGGGACTCTTAAGGACCGTACGAACCCTGTTTACCATTATTTTAGTGGACAAAAGTTTAAGCTTGTTTATTTTTCTGTAAATGCCTTAACAGACTACATTCCTGTGACAATTTCTCATAGTAAACATTATATAATGTTGCTTACATTTTCTTCTACTGCCATTTTTTATTCATAATTAGTAATTTTAGACATTTTAAATGTCAGTTTGAGAAAATTATAGAGTGGGTAGATAAAGATCTACCGAAAAGAGTGAATTAAAACCCAAATGTACTGCTTATCAAACCAAAACACCACTGGAAATATTTATGTTTGGCAAGGAATTTCTAGAAAATTTGTCATTACATTTACAAGATAAATAAGGCAACATAATTCATGTAATAGCTTTCACCCTTAAACTATCACCAACTTCAACTTTAACTAAAACTGTATCTGTAGATACTCTTCTGAATAATTTTGCAGTAGTATGTTATTTCACATTTGTAATTTTACAGACTTTGAATTTTATCCTGTAGTGAATTTAAGATGCTATTTGAATTCCCTTATCAAAACTGAAAGATACTCCTTATGCCCGGGTAGAAAACTTACTTACATATTAGTGCAACCACCTTAGTAGATGGCAGCAGATTTCCCAGAATGTGCCAAACTCTGGGCAACCATACTCGTAACAATCCTTCAGTCAAGTAACATCATCATTTTTGCATTTTTCTTTTTCTTGTTGTTGTTGTATTATGTTCCAATGGTTCTTATACAAAAACTGTGATATTCTTTGCCTTCCAATCAATTTAAAAATATCACTTTTGGAATTTGCAACAAGTGGAAAAAGCTTCAGTAAAAGTTCTGCCAGAAAACTCTAATTTGTCACAAAATTACTGAAAAGAACAATGGCCAGGTGAGTTTTGGAAACAGACGATGTGTTGCTCTGAGCTTTCAAGCAACTCTCAGCAAAATTCTCTGATTTTTTTTTTAAGCAAAATGAGATCATTGTGCACATGGAAAGAACAACACCACTAAAGAAGGACTTCGGGGGGATGCTTTTTTTTTTAAAGTGTCATAAAAATGCATTAAATGATTAAATTTCATATTTAATTTTTTTTAGTTAACAACATTTTGATGACTAATGATAAATAATCAATAGCTTGGAAACTTTTTCTTTAAAAATAAAAATCACAAAAATCACCAAGCTATACATGATAAGTAATTATTACCCTTTCATCTACGAATACAGCCAAATTGCACCAAGTTAGCTGCATTCATATTAAAAGTACCTAAAACTGTTCTGCATTCTCAACAAACGAACTTAACCACTATTATTCTAACGCCTTTCATATAAAGTTAGAGTAATAAATAAAAATAGGACATATTTTCATTATTTCAATGAAGAACTCCTTCATATGAGCAGTGCTGAAATCCCTAAAAAATTTTTTATGGACCTTTTAAATCAGGATTTAAAAAAAGTTGGGGAAACTAAAGATCCATTACAGTCAGCTGAAAAATCAGCAAGCAGGTCACTGAAAATTTCATTCAAGTTATGTAAATGATTTAAAAAACACATAAAATCTTGAACTAACATGATTTTAAAAATCAAACTTTCTCTGAAATTACATGCCAATTTTTTTCCATATTTCGAGTCTACAAGTCAAACTATGCCAAACTGCCAAGTTTTGTAAAAATTGCATAAGTAGATTTTAAAAAATTAGCTCTCAAAGTTTTAGCTCCTCAATGTTAACTGAACTTGGTATATATTAATTAATCTCTTTTTATTAAACTTATTCGATTCTTCCTTTCACATTTCAAAATTTAGGTTCATTCCAAATAAAATTCACCCATTTTAATTTTTTTTTAAAAATTTATATTTTTAAATAATTCTTATATATAATATATATATATTTAAATGAATTATAATCTATAAAATGTTTGTCATCACCTTAAAGTACATGTATTTTCAAGTATACCTTCCAAAAATTTCAGAAGATGTATGTGAATTTATACATTAGCACATTGTGAAATTTGGCATATTTGTTGAAACTGATAAATACATCAAATGTGGTTTAGGCACTTTTAGTAATTTTACCAATGTTAAAATTACTTGGAAGGAAAATAGGTTGCCATCTACTAAGAAGTTCAGCAAGTGAATTATTCTTGGTGCAAACTGAAAAAAAAAAGAAAACAAACGTGGCAAGATAAATTTTGCACCAAATTTTACAAAATTTAATATTTAGGGATAATTTGAATCACAATATCGAAATATGGAAAACAACTGGCATGTCGAAAAAGTCTGATTTTGTGTCAAAATACCTATATTAAAATGCTATATATAAGTCTAATATATATATATATATCTTAAGCCAGGCTTTTGATACATAAAAACACAATTGGCCCAGTAGAATGGGAGATATAGAACTGTGCTTTTTTTTCTTTTTTTGCGCAGTGTACCTTTCATGGATTCTCATACATTCTTTGTTACTGCCTTCAGCCACAAGGGCAGGAAGCATTTCTACTAAAATACTCTCTCCCATGGATAAAAATGGATAAAAGAATGCAAGATTGTACATCGAAGTGTTATGTTCAATACACTAAAAACCAAAAATTCTGTTAAAAAATATACTTTTATTTCATTTATTTTACATCACCAATTTAAAGATTTTGACAACTGATTTGAGATTTCTTTTTCAGTCATTAAAATAAAGAATATATCTACTCTCGTTCTGGATCTACATACTCATGAGAATTTGCCTTTTCATATTTAGAAGTCAAGATTAAATATCATTAAACAAGCAACAAACTTGAATGCTTAGTAGGTAGATCGAGACTTTTAAAGAAAAACATTTGATCATACACAATACAGAAGTTGGCTGCCTCTGCATGATACATTGTTAATGGATAAATCTTTATTTATTTTAATGATATAATTCTGTTATTATAAACTAAAACAATAAAATTACATACTTGGATTCTCAGTATGGAATATTTTTTCGCCTTACTGTGTTATTTTTATATTCAAATGATAAATATTTGCAGTTCTATTTCAATAACAAATTTATGATAGTTCTAAGTTATTTGATCACTATTCAATTTCACATATATTCAGATTAGTAGGATTCTGCATTCATACTACATACATAAGTTTTAATATAAATTTTTGATCATAATTAAGTTTCCTTTATTTTTTTTCACTACAGCAAGAACCATGCACTATATAACATATCAACTACAATGTTTAGAAATTCTTAACTAATTTTATTTTTACAACTTATACATTTAAAGGGATGACAAATTTTTATTATAAAAACAACAATTTAGCAGATAATATATCAGATTTACAAAAATTGGTCAGAAAACAGTAATTGCAGAAATTAAAAGATGAATAACTATCACAAAATAAATAGAAAAATTCATTTGCATTGCTTTTAAACCTGGTTTTGTATAATAAGATATGGTTTGCTTAATTTGACTATGGCAATGCACTTGAAGGCTATCTGCCTAGGAAAGCTTTCATGGAGGAGTTTCTGGGAGAAACTGGCTCGAGTACCCGTTATTCATGGAGAAAGCCACATAAGTGACAGCCCGTTCGCCGGGATTAGGGTCCCGGACCGAACTATCGGTGTTCCGCGACTTAACCGCTCCGCTATTGGTGGGCCCTAAAAATGAGAGATGAAAAAAAAAAAAAAAATAATAATAATAATTTAAAATGAGGATGAGCAAAACAGAAAAGTTATCTGTCATCGTGCACGACTTGATTCTATTCGAATTTTATAAGGCAAAAAAGAAAATTTAGCTTTGAAATTTTAATATGAAATAAAAGTAGACATGCTTTCTTTACTAACGTTCTTTCATTAAAATCAATGTTTATAAATTTATATGCGATTCAATCATGAGAACCGAAGGAGCAAACCAAACACATACTTTTCAAAGAAACATAGATACTTTTCATTACCTGTGTGGCTTTTTAACCAATCAATATTGTACAAACGCAAATCATCGGGTTGCGTTATTATACTACTCGGCTCCAAAAAAGTTCGAAAAAAGTCAATGTCTTTTGCTGTCAAAGTACTAAAACTTGCTCTAGTGTTAGTAGAAAACTCGGAAATTTGTTTTTGATACATACATATCAACCACCGTTTATAAGTGAAAAAACGATTTTTTCGACTAAAAGGTATTAATAACGAAGACGAAAATAATGCTGCCATCACTTTTACTTTTTTTTTTAATGAAAAGTCCACAACATAATCAATATTACATTCTTAAATGTTCAATTCAAATCATATGTTAACAATCTGATAACACGGATTGCCATTCATACTAAATGAAATTTTGATTTTTACAAATTTGAGACTTGATTGAAATTGAAATTGATTTTTCAAATATGTGATGTATATAACTTATTTAGGTATTTAATTTTAAAAGGTACGTCTTAAAGATATATGTCAGTATTTTAATGAATTTTTATCTTGCTGGTATACATTTTTTCCTTAACTGTCATTACAATCTTCACTGTACCCGTCAGTCCCAGTTTTTATTTTTTGCCAGCTTGTAATCCCGCCTTATTTAATGATCAACTTATAATGGGTATTACAGGTTTATTACCGTTTTTGAAAAATTCATGTAGACCTGCAAATATACGTGATTTTGCAGGTGCAACTGTAGCAGTTGATGCTTACGGTTGGTTACATAAAGGTGCATTTTCTTGTGCTGAAAAACTTATCAAGGGTGAAGAAACTGATGGGTAAATATGGATCAACATCATTTAGAATGGTTTCATTTTTGTTGTATAAATTTAAAGCTTACCTAATTCACTGTTTAAATTCTAGACTTATAATTCTAAATTCATAAAATCTTCCATATTAAATGTATCATTACTTGGGAAACCGTTTGTTCAAATTTGTAGCTTGCACAGACACACACCAAAAAAATGGGACAGTTCTATATTTCCCTATGTTAATAAATTTTGATCATAAATACATGAAACTTTTTATTTAGCTTATAGTAGTACAATACTAATTATGCTGTAGGTAGATCATATAAAGGCATTAATTTTATAATTGAAAATAATTCTGCCTTTATTGTTATAACTGTTTTTACAAACTTTTCAATTTTATTTTGAGAAACTTTATATCTTGAAGGACATTTTTAGGATCAAAGGATATTTGAAGAAATAATGCCTCTAGTGAACTTTTTCAAACATCCTATGTAGGTTTTTTTTTTTTTTTTTTGTTGTTGTTGTTTGAAGAGGAACAAAAAAAAGAAAAGGTGGTATTTTGTGATTATCTGCCCAACCCTGCCAAAAAGGCACTGGCACCTAATTTTTCACCAGCCTAAGGCATGAAAAATACAGGGGTGATTGTGGTACAGATACAGCGAGAATTCCAGATTTTTATTTTTTTTTTAATCCAAAATTACCAGATCTGTGAAGTTTTCACTCATTATTTTTCTCAAATTTTGTTTTAGATATAATATACTCAAAGGCTGACCCACCAGCGGGCTAGTAATGTAACTAAACACTAGTAGTCTGATCTTTGTTCAAAACCAGTTTGCTGGGTTGTTGTGTTCATGGTTTTTCCAGTTCACGGAATTTTTCCTGTATGAAGGCATCCTTCCTCTTAATAAGATAGCCTTCGTATTCTTTTCCATAGTCAAATAAACCAAACCACATATTTTCATATTATATAACATGAAAGTTAAAACTAAAAATTATACTTTTTGCTTCACTAATAAAATTGTTTGAAAATAATGTATGTATATAACATTAATATTTTGCACATACATATTCTTATGTATGTGCAAAATTGCCTGAAATTAATTATGTGCAATTGTCTGAAATCGTGTTAGATTTTTATTACATGGTAATTTTGAAGGCTGATTTTTCAGCAATAACCATAAAAACAACAGCCATTTTCAAAATCAGCAGCGCACTAAAAATAACATCAAAAAGAACCTATAACAAAATAAAATGCAAAACACATCCATATCAAAGCATTTACCCACCCACCCCACGTACACAGTGATCCATTTTCGCTTAAAAAAATAACAGAAATTCATTTTCGCCACACAAATTTTGATTCATACAATTCTACTACTTACTAAGTACTACATCATAAAATGCAAGTTTTTGCATTCTGTATTGCTGAATAAAACGCTATATTTCTGAAAAACTACAATGCTTTATTTTTCATCAGCCAAGTAACTCCTGTCCCATTGCGATTTCTTACAAGGAAAAATGTGTTCAATACAGCAAACACAAACACTAATGTGCTGCTCGTCTACTACGTATATGGGTTGTCACATAAATATATTTTGATAACATCATGGGTTGCCTGTTTTGGGGACATAGCATGTTATTAAAAAATTCAAGGTGTGTATCTAAAACAAATATCTATGCAAGCCTGAACTTATTATTAATTAAATTATGTTTTTTTGTGAAATGTTTGTCAAGTATTATTGTAAATTATTTATAAGTATTACTTGTTATAATAAAGTACTATTTGGTGCATATGTATTATGCTATCAACTGTCAAAACTTGGTGATCACTGAATCATAAATTTTGCTAGAGGGAGGATGTTGCTAAAAGTTGTACCCATTGTCCCATGCTGAATTCTGAAGGAAGTGACGCTTCATTATTTAGTAAACAATCATTCATCATTCTTTGCTTACTTATATAATGGACAGATAGAAATAAAAAATATGTGCATTAAAAAAACACCCTATATAAATATTAAATCGAGGTTTTAGATTAATTAACAAAACAGTTGATATAAAAACCTGCTCCAGTTATTCCGATGGCCAGAAATTCTTAATGGAATTCATAATAACAAAATAGTCATCTTTGCAGACTTGGCACAACATAAATTTGCATAAATATGAATCTAAGTGGTGACCTGCAATACTCCAGTGTTTTTTTGTTGTGCTGAATCCCAGAATCTTTCTATGTGAGTATGCACCAGTCTCAAGATCTACAAATTAGACTAGTGTTTAACATGGGAAAAATCCTTTAGCTTTTAATTAGTTTTATACCTTTCCAAAAATTCAAAACAAAAACATCTGTTGTATAGTCTTTTATCGTGCTATTAGAGTAGCCAGACTTCTATCTGCAATTTTTGCCATGAAATATCTGTCGATCCCTCTGCACAAACACTACTACAGAAGTATTTGCCCCACTTTTTTTATTTTTTTATTTATTTATTTATTTTTTTTTTTTTTGGTGCTTCATGAAAAGGTTTTCATCAATTTTTCTTTTTTCTATTTTGTTAGGCCCTCTGATTTTATCAGAAGCTCTGTTTAGAACACTATAGGTATTCGGCTGTATCCAGCTCTTTTTCAGCAAATGCCCTATTCAGCAAATATTAATTTTTTGATCAGTTTTAAACAAATAAGAACGCAGTCACAAATATGATTTTAGAGCTCTTGAACCACAATCTTTTCTCACTGTCACAATTTTTCGTGCTGCATTTCCATTTTTTATCCGTTTTTAAATTAAGTGCCAAATTATTTCAATTAGTACACATTTTTTTAGAGGTAAAATCTCATAACTTTGAGAATAATTCACTACCAACTGTTCTGTTGAAGGCAGGCCCTAAATTTTAATCTGTTTTTTTTTTTTTTTTTTCCTCCGAAATGCAAGAAAAAGTACAGTACTAACAGTTAATTTATACTTGTTTTTAAAATCAAAGCATGGGCTATTGGTATTACATCACATAAATGTGCCGATACTATGAGTGTGTTGTGAAATTATATTTATCGGCACTAAATTGCGGTTGACATTATAATGCATAAGTAACATATATTTTCATTTTATGTTTATGTTAGGTATTTTTACATGTTTTAGTCTTTCAGTTATTAATTGGATGCTGTGATCTGCTAGGTATATTTATTACTGTATGAAACAAATAAATATGCTACTGGAGGCTGGTGTTACACCTATTATGGTTTTTGATGGCTGCAATCTTGCTTCTAAAGAAGTTACCGAGAAGAAACGGAAAGAGTATGTAAATGATTTCATAAACATTTAACTGCTAATATGAAGTTTGTAATATTTTTTTCTTCTTTTTAGTTATGTCTGATATAGATTTTCAAACACGTACCTTTGGTAATATGGTTTTCTCTTGAGAAGAAATTTCATCTAATTTAATCTCTCTTATTAAGATAAGCTTGTAGATTAACATATTAAAATGCTGTTGTGTTTAACAGTGGCAGATGTCTATTGTTGATTGGTTTCCAAATAATGATGGAAAACAGAATTAAAATGATTGCAAAAAGCTTAAATTTTCTGAAAAGTGGTCACTATCTTTGATGATACTTTCAATGAAGACATTATCTACCTAGAAGTTAAAAAAAAAAAAAAAATAAGTAAAATTAGAGGGAAATATCCCACTTGCAGTTGACCTGAAATGACAGAGAAATTATATTTCTAATTATATTTCATACTTTTAATATCAAACTAATTCATTATCAACTACAGTTTGTAGCATTCAAGATTTAAGCTACAGTCTCAAGAGAAGATGACAGCTTTCTTCCTTCCCATTACATTTCACAGTATTGCCAAAATCATGCTTTCAGGGATAGAAATAATCTTGATTTCCAAGTTGAAGTATTGTTTGCATGCTTCTGTTTAGCCGCTGCATTTGAATAGACAAAAAATTTATATAATGAAATATAAGGTGTTATAAATCTCCTTTTTACTATTACAAATCTGTTATCAAAGATATTTCTTTCATAAGAGGGTCATACTTATTATTTAGAAAGTACTGAAAAATATTATGCAGTTTTGCTGATATCTAGTTATTATGAGGGAAATATAAAATAATGTAACTTTAAATTTCAAATTTTGAAATTTAATTGATCATTGAGTTAGCAATAGCTTTCTAAGTATTTTGTCTCTCACAATGTCTTATAAAATTTATATTAAAATTCATTATTCATGCTAAATATTAAAACTGATTTTAACTCTCAACAAAATATGCAAGATTTTATAAATATTGTTGTGTGTGTATGGGTTCGAAATAGATTGAATGCACACAGAATCAGTGATACCTTGATAAAATTTATTTTACCAAAACAAACTTCAAGTTCTAGAACTTTCTACAAAAATAGGTGTGTAGCTCTTCACAATATTACAGTATACAATCAGTAATTACACTTCAAACTACCAAGAATGTTAAACACAATGCAATGCAAAGTGCATCTAAAATGCAAAGCTCTCTTGGATATCTCAATACTCCGACTTCAGCTCTGAACTAACAACTGAGAGCACATGTTGTCTCTGGTCTTGTATAGTTTTCACCCAGCTGCCGAGAAATGTAGTACTTCTTGAAATTACTGGAAGGCATATAAGGGCTAGATATGATTACAGTTATTGAATTACAGTACCCATTGTAGTTGGACAGGGCCAAATTGTCACCAAATTTGATGCCTTTTAGCAATTTCTTGCCAAATTTGCCAACAAAAATTAATTGCCAAAATCATAGTCAGTTTGGCGATATCTTGTCAATTTAGTGAGATAGCCATTTACTCAATGTTAAATAGACTTGCCCCTGTATTCTTACTTTTCCAGCAAAGCATCACCTCTTTAAATTTAATGTTACATTATACAAAAGAAAATACTGCGCTTTCACATATAATTTAGCTAAAATTATTTACTTAGATACAAAATTCGTAACAATATTTATTTTAATAATTTAAAATGTAGTATTTTACATAAATGATTTTTAAAAATTATTTCAGTACTTCAGCTCACCATATTTTGCTTTTCTAAAATTTCTTCAAATTTTAGCTAGCAGTTAACATTTCTAATTAAATGTTTTCACATTTCAAGTTTGCATCTGAGTAGGTTTCCGTAGATTAAGAAACCAAGGGCAATGTTTTTTATGTTCCCATTTCTTTGCATTTTGTTTTATATGATCTGGTTCTTGGCATTATGTATATCTAAAGAGTTTTTTTTTTTTTTTTTTTTTTTTTTTTTTTTTTTTTTTGAGTGCTGTTAAAAATATGCGTTCAGTAAGTATTTTTATTAAGAATTAGGTTTTTATATCATATTCTATGCATTTAATTATCAAAGACAAAACTGTAAATTTTATAATTCCCTCTTCTGATTATTCTGCTTTTTTAAATTATATTTCTCTCCGATATAATTAATATTTTCAGGAATCGTGAGAAAACTAGGCAGAGAGGTAAAGAATTATTATGTGAAGGTAAAACTAGAGAAGCTCGAGAGTGCTTTCAACGATGCGTAGATGTAACTCCAGAAATGGCTAGAAAAGTTATTCAGGTAGTATACAATGTCCGTTATAAATACAAATTTAATTAACATATTTTTTATTGTTTTAAATAACTGTTAAATTTCTTAAATTCTTAAAATCGTTCTTTATGTAAAATACTAGGTCAGTAGATCATGTTACCTCACTCAAAAGAAATAATTGGTGTAAAAATAAGCTCATTTACTGCTGAGTCACAATTTTATTTAACTCTGCTTTAAATAGATGTGTACTTCATAGAAAACCAAACACAATATACTGTAGCCAGCATGCACAAGGCAGGATTTTTAAATAGAAGGTGCTTTACTCCTGAACATAGTGGCAGGCCTCTCAGTGTGTAACGTACATTCAGATAATTGTAAATTAAACAGTAATATATTTAAACAAATCTACTATTGGTTACAGTAATGAGGTAATATATATCTACATCATAACACTAGAATTAAAGCTTCAATATATACAAATTAATTATTTATAGGTAATAAACATAACTTTAAAATTGGTTTTTATAATGGACAGAAGTTTTAATTTTTCTACTGTAATTTTATTATCCTTGCTTAGGAATACTTTTTCAATTTCACCAAATGGCCGTTTGAACCGGGGCAAACTGTCCTCTTTAATTGTAACAATATCACTTATTTTCACATTGTCTTTACAAAACATCCATTTACACTTGCAAATAATTTTCCATGAAAAATTCATGTGACTTTTTGCGAAATCTTTAACCAATTTTCATTTATTAAAAGCAGGCTCAATTACTGTAATTTCCAGAAGAAACACTGCGGCATTTACGTGTTTAAAACTTAAATTTTCAGCAGATGTGGCATTTAGGTGCTCTAAAAATTTAATATTTCCTATGATGGTCATTGTGCATAGTTTGAATAACTTTGTCATTGTACATAGTTTGGATGGCCTTGTCACTCACTGTACATAGACTGGTGCTGTTCCCACACAAAAGACCACTCAGTTGCTTTTTGCGAATGTTATTTTGTTTACATTCTTTCCCTTAAATGAGCACCTGCCTCGCAATAATGAACTTTGACATATTTCCCCTTCAGCATGAATCGATTTTCTTGGCCTTCTGCCAGATACAGATCCGTTCAGTTTGGGTACAAGTACTTGTTGGATAGTTTTTAAGTAAGAAGGGAGCAGAAAATTTTTTAAAATGGCACCCAAACGGCACAGAAGCTATACTGCTGGTTTTAAGCTTAATGTAATTTCAGGTGCTGAACAAATTGGAAATAGAGCAACAGCTCAAGAGTTTGAAGTGGACGAGAAATGTATTTGACGTTGGAGAACTGAAAAAGAAGAACTTAAAAATATGCCACAACTGAAACGAGCCAAAAGAAGTGGTACTGTAAGGTGGCCGAATCTAGAGGACGACATTGCAAACTGGATAAAGGAGCAACGAGGAAAGGGAATGGCAATTTCAAATGTAAAAATTCGCTTACAAGCAAATTTATAGTAAAACAAATGAACATAAATGATTTCAAAGGAGGGCCTTGCTGGTGTAGCAGATTTATGAAAAGAAAAAATATTTCTGTGTGTACTAGAACAACAGTCGGCCAACAATCACCAATGGACTGGCAGGATAAAAAGGCATCTTTTCTAAAATATGTGACAGATATTTTTGACAAAAAAAAAACTTCTTCAGTCACAGATAATAAATATGGATGAAATGCCATTAGCTTTCGACTCTCCTGCAAACAAAACTGTTGATTAAATTGGTGCAAAAACTGTATCAACGGGGCATGAAAGAACGTCATTTACATGTGTGTTACCTTGTGCCGCAAACAGTGACAAGCTAAAGCCAATGATCATTTTTAAACGAAAACTATTCCGAAGAGAGATTTTCCTAATGACGTAATTATTTGTGTAAACGAGAACAGCTGGATGTACAAAACAATAATGCATGAGTGGCTACAAAAAGTTTGGCAGTGTCGTAAAGGATCTTTTTTTTCAACCAAAAGGGTTATTGATAATGGATTCCATGTTTGCTTATTTACTTGAGTCAGTGAAAACCAGATGTCAAAAATTGTCTACGACTGTAGCAATAATTCCTTTTGGTTTGACAAAAATCTAACAACGATTAGATTTGTCAGGTAATAAATCCTTCAAAGCTGAAGTCCGAAAGCGGTGTGAGTGTTGGATGAGTGAAGGATTGCATATGTATACCAAAAGCGGTAAAATGCGTAGAGCATTTTATGAAGAAGTTGCAAAGTGGGTAGGAAGTGCGTGGAAATCGGTAAAAACATCGTCAGTAATAGCAGGGTCCAAAGAAGCTGAAATTATATCCTTAGATAAAGAGACTGTAAACCAAGAGGATGAATGTGTAGATCTGGAAGACTTGGACTTGGATCAGGATTTACTAAATCTTTTTTAATTCAGATAGTGAAGAATCAGATTTTGATGACTTCATATGATGTATAGTTTGCTGTAATTCCTTTTGTAAGTAAAATTTAAAATTTCCTTTTGTCATCGAAATTTAATATTTTGTTAACATTTTTCATAATATAGTCTGAGTATTACAAATATGGACTTCTTTAGTGGGTAAATGTAAGTATATTCGTGAACGTAAATATATTTTCAACATTTCTTACCTTTAATTTATTTTTGAGTTATGGTTTCATTTGATGTATTTTTCTTAACTGATATGTCATATATCAGGACATAGGTTGAGATTTTGCATCTATACGGTCCACGACGATGTTATGCACAATTTAATCTATTGTGGCGTTTCTGTGTAATTTTAATTTTTTTTTTTTTTTCCTGCCATTTTTCTCGAGTACAACGTTTACACTGATGCGGTCTTTCTTCCGGAAATTACGGTAATGCTTGAAAAGGTCTGCCAATTAAAGAATCAGCAAGTATCAAAACTTCTATGTCATCAATATCTGAAGTTATTGCTAAAAGAGGACTGGAGTTTAGCATGCCCTCAATCTGAGTAATTATGCTGTTAAATACCTCATATGTTAATTTCAAACTATCAGCAAGTCTTTTCAGATAATATTTAAAAGATTTGACACCTGCCTCCTTGAGACCCCCAAAAGAAAGAGCCCTTAGAGTTAGGAAAGTCCAATCCATTTCTTCAGATACTAAATAACTCACAAAAACATTATCTGGTTACTTACTAAATTGTACAGGTTTTTAATTTCACTGTTAGTAGCAGTGAAATTTTTGGCATTATTAGTGAATAATTTAGCAGCCCATACAGCACACTTAGTTGCTATGACGTTGCAGTGACCTCTCAATTTCCTCGTTGCTGGAAAACAGCGAATGTCGTTTTAATCCCTAAGAATTGTGGTCCTCGTATCCCACATTTAGATAACTTGAGATGCATTAGTCTTTTTCCCAGTTTAAGAAAATGCCTAGAAAAGCTGTTTGTTAATAGAATTACCTGGTTCTTGCATAATAAAAAACTGCTAAATAAAGCACAGTTTGGGTTTATCCCTCATAAGAGTTGTAAAGATGCTCTTTTGTACTTAAAAGACATAGTGGACAAAGGTAAGAAGAGAAATTTACACACAGTTTTAGTGTTTCTTGATATCAAAGGTGCTTTCGACCACGCCTGGTGGCCTGGGATACTTGTTTTTTTAAGGAAAGCTGGTATTCCGTGTAATATTTACCACCTTATTAAAGATTTTCTGCATGACAGATCTGCATTGCTCTCCCTTTGCCACGTTTCTTCCTCCCGCATTTTGGAAAGAGGTTGCCCTCAAGGCTTGGTTTCCGGACCTTTATTGTGGAATTTAATTATGAATGATCTACTCAATATACTCTCACATTGTCCGAGTTGTAAAACAATTGCTTTTGCTGATGATCTACTAATTTGCTTTCAAAAGAAGTGTCCCATTACTATCTTTAAGACGGCTCAAAACGCCCTTAATATTTTTTCCAATTGGTCCAGAGAACAGAAATTGGAATTCAATCCTAATAAATCTAAAATTATTTAGATAATTAAAAGAAAGCATGTCAGCTATACAAACCAACAACTGTACTTGGATAATACCTTACTCGAAACGGTGAATAAAATTAAATATTTAGGTGTTATTCTTGATCATAAGTTTTGTTGGAAAAATCATATTATGTATTTATCCAATAAGTGTGAAAATATACTTAGAGGATTTAATCGTGTCTCTTGCAATACTTTTGGTTTAAAATCTAATGTTATTGATATGATTTATAAGCAGGATATTGTCCCCTTTATTTGTTATGCTTCTAGAGTGTGGGGAACAGCTTTAGAAAAGAATTTTAATTCCCGTATACTCTACAGAATTCAAAGAAGAATTTTACTAAGAGTTGTGCGTGGCTACAGAACAATTAGCTATGAAGCCTGTTTCGCAATTTCAGGATTTCCTCCGATTGACCTTCATGTTTTGAATGACAAAAAGTTTAAAGATACCATCAGCAAATTTATGTTCGATACCGAGGTGTTGTTTGAAGATCTTCCTCATCCTGCCAATCATTTGCCAATTCAAACTATCATTTATGACAATTCTGTTGATGATAATTTCCCTGTTGTGTGTTATACAGATGGCAGTAAAATTAATAATCGAGTTGGATTAGCTTATGTCGTTTTTCATAATGGTTCTGAACTGGAATACAAACTCTTTAGAATTCCCAATGAATGCAGTGTTTTCCAAGCCGAATTACTGTGCATTAGTGAGTCAATTAAGTGGATATCTAGCAACTGTTCGCTAAGTGCTAAATTTCTTATTCGCACTGATTCTCTGTCATCCTTATTTTCTCTTAGGAATATCTTCTCATTTAATAAATTAATTGTGACTTCCCATGCTCTTCTTAAAGACCTTAATAATAAAGTTGTTGATGTTATCTTTTCTCATGTACGTGGCCACACTGGCAATATAGGAAATGAAAGGGCTGATTGGTTGGCAAAACAAGCTACACATCTTCAAGTAATTACTCCAATGGTACTTCCTAAGTCATTTTGGTACTTACGTATTATCGCAACCAGGTTGGCGCGATTTGTAAGTTTGAGTTAAAAAGTATGAAT